TTCTGAGTTATTTTAAATGGCTTAGCAACAAATTTTACAGAAACCAACTACTAATTAAAAAAAGCTGTTCTGACAGATGGGCAAGTAAAAAAGTAAAAGCTGTTTATCTGGTTGTGATTATTTTCAGAAAATACTAAATCCCAACAACAGGATAAACACCCAAAGTTGATGAAAAAGTTGACAAACAAAATTATTGTCTTTCCTTTTTTGCGGGGTTTAAAAGTAAGTGTTAAATAAAGACATAGATGTTACATTTATAGACAAGAACAAATTAAGTACTTATAAGCCAAAACATTTTTCCAGATAGGATATAATTTAGCATTATTTAATACTAGCGTACCCGTGCTGTCAAAAATGACAGTTTTTTTTTTTTTTTTTTATCTGCCGCAGTTATATCGTTGACAATTGGCTTCAGTGAACAAAAGATTATTTACTCTATGAATTCTGTTTTGTGCATTTCTTATGGCGCCAGTATTCTCATTCCTCCTGTTTTGTTGCTCTTTAGTTTCTTGTCGAAGACGTTCTTCCATTCACATATTTTCTCTTCTTGCATTAGATTCTTCCTTGGTTTCATTTTGAATCCTTTCAGCTACATATTCTCTCATAGCAGCTCTTCTTTCATTATCTTCTTCCTTCTCTTTCATTTTGTCTTCTTTGTGCTACTCTCTCTCTCTTGTAGGTCTGCTCTCCTCCTATTACCTTCTTCTTCTGTCTCCTTAGTTCGCCTTGCATTTCCTGTGATGCCTGTGAATATCTTTGTCTATCAGCCTTCCACTGTGCCTGTATCTGATTTTGAGATGGGTGTAATCGCTGCCTTTGTTTTCGCTTCCGTTCTGATCTACTTTCTTCAAGAGGATTTTCCATTCTATGATGTTCACTGGACAAGATTTTCTTAAATGCACAAAACAATGTAAAACATAGGGAATTTTTTAGATTTAATTCTACATTTATAGAGCAAGTTTGTGTTAAATGTTGGACACCAATTCAAAACTAAAATGTATTTAAATAATATGAGAACTAGTAATTACACTTACAGTATTAATACTAAACTTATCTCTTAATAGTTATTCAATTATATATTTAGAGGGTAAAAGTGTGTTGAATTTAGGATACCATAATTCACATATTCAGATAAATCAGTAACTGATGCATTTTCTGCAACAACTTTAATAAAATCTCTGTGATATATTTGTTTGAAAGTAATTGATGTTTGTAAATAAATGCTTATTACTACCGATTGTATTTCAGTCCGTCTTAGATGAGACAGGAAATATATAAATACACACTGATAATTATTATATGGTTTGATGATAAAATTCTTTATATAACGTTATCAAGAAAATATTATCTCCTTTTATGAAGAAAATATAATTATCTCCCTTATCAAATGGGACAGGAAATATATAAATAAATACACATTGATAATTATTATATGGTTTGATACAGTTTATTAGATGTTTGAAATGATCTATGGCAAATACAAAAGTTGGTGATTGGCATGGATAAGGTATGAATGTGTGAAAGTACTGGTGTTCTGGTAAACCTGAGAGGCATTATTTTTTTAAACTAGCTTACCAGCCTTGAATAACATCATGAAGTCTATCTAAAGCATTACTTTTAACCTGGTTAATTTACTTAGTTTTAATACTGGTAATGAAATATAAAGAAAGGAATTTACATCCAGATTTTTCCCGACTTGCTACACTGACAAAATTTACAAATGGGTAACAAGTAGTTAACAGAATAAAGACCCGATGTTTTCCAGTTCAATACTTTGACAAGAGAGTAACTACCCACTGAAAGAAGGTAGCTTTACCAAAAGCCATGAAAAATTTACCTGAAGGTTGGGTGGCAATAAGAAGCTCCTAACATTGAAAACTAAATGTACAGTTTAATAAATTAAAAACTTATAATTACAAAGAATGAAAATAATCTGATCATCAATGGCAGAATATTTTGCCTTCTTGTTTATATGCCAGTAAGCAATTAACATGGCAAGAACACCACCAGGACTTCAAAGAATAAAGTTTTCAATGCTAGGCTTTTCAGCCATGGCTCTAGGAGATGAGGATAAGATTTGCATATTCAGAATAGATGGATAAAAATCCTGTTGACAGACGGAGTAGACTTCAGCTAATCACAGCTCTTTTGGGGAAGCTCCCCCACCTCAGAATCTCATGAGGAGGAGGAGGAGGAGGTGGTGGTGGCAGAGGAGGGGAATTAAGCTGCCCAACAAAATATTGCAACTTTTACCATTTAGTCAGCCTATGTTTTCATATTAAATATTCCATTGTGGCTGTGGCTATTGTCCCAAAGGAAACATTCTATAAAATTCATTTTAATAACTCATCAAAGGGATCAATCAGTACTAAGTGATTCAACTTGATGAGCCGGCTTAAATAAAAAAAGGACAAGTTTATTCACCAAGAACCTTATTTTTAAAATGGGAGGATTAGTTTCTAAAGCCCAAAATAATTGTTTCTTTGGTGATGAGGAATGTTGTTGATGTAATGAATAGACCAGTAACAGGATGATATCAGTGAAGGCACTGTTGAGGTGTGTATGTGTGCATATATGTATGTCTGTCTATGCCAGTGTGTGCGTGTGTGTACTGTTCATGAAAATCTTAAAACACATTTACTGTCATGGTCTCAATTTTGAAGTAATGAACTGTCAACTAGATGTGATAATTAAAGAAGCTTTCTGGAATTTAAGCAGATTGAAATGGACTGCTTAATTTGTTTCTTTGCAATCATTAATTACAGAAAATTACATTTTAAAATGGAAGCTTTTAATTTATTTTCCCATTGAATGTCTGATCGGCTTGAGTCAATGATCAAGATGTTTTAAACCTGACTTTGATTACTATAAAAATAATCCAAGGCACACTTCATCTGTGCAAATTAAAAAAAAATAAATTAGGTTATGTTTGATTTGTATAAAGTTTTATAAATGAAAACTTGTATTTTCATTATTTGTTTCTGTTTTTGAAGAATTTTTGACAGCATTGCACAGGAAATGTTTATGGGATATTACTGAAAACAGACAAATTTTGTTAAATGTTGGGTTAGATAGAAAGCATCATTCAATCTAATATTCTTTTAAGTGCCTAATTTAAATGTTATCATTTATGAGGTAGCAAAGTGGCTATACCAACAGAATAAATGTTTGAATAGAGAGAATTTCTCAGAATGAGAACTAGTAGTCAATAAACCATAATGGAATTTGTTTCATTCAAAGCTTATTTGAATCCAAACAGATACTTTTATAACTTGAGTTTAAACATTTCAAGAAATAAATTTAAAACTGACTTTGTATAAGTATAGCTAATATGATGAATTGATGAATTAAAATGAAAACAGTGAAGAAATGTTTGTAATGAGGCAAGATGAAGTATGTCATGAATTGTAACAAAAATGTATTTGTGAATAACATTTACAAAAGATGAATTAAAAAAAAATAATGGAGAAAAATATAATTCAATGAGCAGGGACCATCTAGTTGACAATTCAGTAAAAAGTTTGGATAAAGTCAATCAAATTTAATTAAGTGACAATTTTTACTCCCCACCCCATTACTCAGCCACAATTTTATTTGTTGACTTAGTCTTCCAAGTTCAATTCTGGGATCCCAATGCAAAATTGCGAACAACCCGAGCTTCACTTTCTGTGACCAAACAGAATAAAGAATGAAGATTGGTACTTGAAAATCAATATTATTTTTACATGCTTACTCTACAAAGAATTTACTTCTAATAAAACTAATGACAATCATCAGATTGTTTTATATTTACTGGGATGTCTGAATGTTGGGCCAGATGTGATGAATCCCAGTAAAATAGATCAAGTATAAAATTTAAAACAAAAAAAAAATGTCTACAGTTTCAGCATTTCCACAGTATTTGGAAACAATATTCCTGAGTTATTTGATCATGAAAATTTAACTTTTATCCCAAAACCATCCAGAACAATGTATGGGGAAGAAGAAAAAAATATTAAAAATAAAACCATCCCAAATAAAGTAACAACCAAACCCTGAGATTATGTTACTTTTAAATAGGAAATTTGAAAGAGTTATGTACCCTTACTATTCCCCACCCCAAGGTTAATGAAGATGAGATCTCAAATTTGAACAGGTTATTTCAATATAGTCCTCATACAGCTTAATATTTTTGCTTTCTATCTAAAAAGAAAATAATTCATTTCATGGTAACTTATTTAAAATTGTTCTGGCTTTCTAAGGAACTATTCCTTTTGATTCCAAGAATATCTCTTGCAGTTGATTGCTACCCATTTATAATAGGGTTTTCAATTTGGTTCTTGGGATTTTTTCCATTCAAATGCAATAGTCTGAGTGAATAGATTCAATTCCAACCAACCACAAAGATGACAAAATAAAAAAAAATAACTCTTTAAGTATGTTTAATCACTGACAGTCAAATCGACTGCAGCTACAAAAATCTTGAAAAATAATCAAATGAATCTTCCTAAAGAATATTAGTTATATCACATTTATTCTTTTTAAAGAGAAATTCATATATATATATATATATATATATATATATATATATATATATATAAGCTTTGCAAAGAAACACTATCATGGCATTGCAGATATTAACAATCTTTGAAGATATAAAGAAAATATGAACAACCTCTGTTTTATGATACTATATTCTCTAAAATATATAAATTAATTTTGCTTTTAATATCTTTCAGCTGACCTATTAAAATGTGTAAGCATGTAGATAAATTGATTTTCTTGTACCAATACAAAAGGAGGAAAGTCAAATGTATGTACACACACATGCACACACTCACACCAAATAGCCGGACCGAGCCGCGTGACCTCTTGGAGCCAAAGGGGTGATCAAAGTTGGCCGGAGCCGAGTGAAACAGAAAGAAGATGAATCTCTGTTGCATGTGTGTGGGTAGGGGAGTGGGATGAAGATGGCTCATCAAACAATATTTCTAGTGTGACACGTGCGGCTGAATACTTACTGATCTGTGATGTGGACTCGGGGTCGCCGAGGGACTTGGCTGAGTGGGTGACTGAGCACTGTTGCTCAGTGAGACAACAGTGCTGTTTGATGTCGCTCCAAGAGTGACTGATGCCAGCACTGAGCCAGCATCCATATACATGGTAGTGTTCCGTGGCACGGAGGCAAAAAGGCTGTTGCTTGAAACAGATTGAGAAGAGGAAGAAGAAGAAGAATCCAGCACACTGGTTGTTTTGCTACCAGCGCAGGAGCTTTTTACACTCCCATTGTGACTACGCTTGACACTGCCACTTCCGCCACTGCTGCTGCACCGTTCCTCTTGTGTTGGAAGTTGTGCCATCACCGTATCTGGCATGCAGGCGTTGTTAACATATTGTCCATTTACCAAATAATTCCGGTTATCAAAACCAGTGACCACAAATCCAAGTTCCTTGTAAGAGGAAGGTTGCTTCCTTGTTGGTAGATTTGCATTGAAATGATTAAGTGTGGTACTGCTTAAATTAACGTTCGGGTAGGTGAAGGCGAGGGCATTGTTATGACTGTATAACATGTTCATAACATTGTTGGCCACATTGCTGCAACTTGGATTCGATGTGGCAGCCAAAGTGTGGCCAACTTGCTGAACAATACTGCTGCTACGTTTCCGTTTCGCTACATTACTACCTGCCGCCGACGAGAGAAGCCCTGGGCTTTTCGTGCCACTGTCTTTTGGTTTTGACGATTTACTGGCAGAGGATTTTGATTTAGGCTTCACAGCACCTTTGTTTGTAGAATTGATAACACTGTTTGAACTGTGGCTACTCCCAGAGGTCGTATCCACCATATTGAATTCATATGGGTCCTTGGAATTCGTCACAAGCTGCGGTTCTTTTGGTAGGTTCGATTCAACACACAATTTTCTGCAGGAAAGAAAACAACAAACAGTGAAGTGCAATATCTCTTCAAAGTGGTCTCCAAAATAACTTTTAAATGCTTCTAATAAGGAAATAAATTTGTAAGTTTAGAGCTTTTCATTGTACCAGTCACATAGTTTGGCTACATATATTAGCATCAGTATCTCAGTGACCATATATTAATAATAACAATATCTGCTTAATAAGTTAAGAGTTTTAGCAGATCAAATAATGCAGCCTTAACAATACTGCACTTAAATTACAAATTTAAAGAAATTTTCTCCAGAAAATAATTATAGATATTGTGTAAGTAAAGAAACTTAGCCAATAATTTGCATTATATTAGAAAATAACAGATTTGTCTATTTTGCATGTTACAGCAATATTAAAAAAGAATAACAAATTATGGCATTAAAAACGGACATATTAAAGGTATATACTTACAAAATATGTACAATATTGAAAGGAAGAAGAGAAAGGGTAAGAAAAAAAATTACTCCCTATATAAAGTAAATGGTTATCGTCCCTTGCTCTTCAGAGTGAGAAGTGATAACCAGTTAGTTACTTTTTTTTTGTGTTTGTTATCATTTTTGGTTTGCCATTTTATGGTGATTAATTTTTCTTCTCCTTATCCTTTCTCCTCCTCTGCTTTTGTTCTCAAATAATTGTGTGAGTGTGTGTGTGTGTGTATATATATATAATGTTCTGTGTGAGAGAGGGAGAGTAGATTCATGCCTTTTTCCAAGAGAATCAAAACACAGTGAACAGCTTCATCTGGAATTTGAACTGTTCACTGATTTGGTTTTCTATGCTGCTAGCAGTTATGCTGCACACAAACTGTAGAGAAGTGCTGTTTGCACAGCAACTGAAAGAGCAGCAACATTTATAGAGGTGCACATTATAAGAGGGTCTTCTAAAAGAAGATTAGAACCAATGTACTCACTTGTGTGGAGGAGGGTGGGTGAGTTTTTCAAGTACATTATAAAGAGATGATTGGACTAAATCACTTTTTCTGTTAAAGAAACATACACCATTTTTCAAAAAACGGCCACCAAATGTACACATCTGAAATGAAGAAAAAAAAACATACATAAGAATCGACATTTAATGTCAGTTTAATAATGAATAAAAAAGATAAATTGCATTAATTTTTTAGTGCCCATTGTTCCACTAGTAGAACGTATATTATTAAAACATGATTTTTGATACCAGGTAAGCATTAATTTTTATTACTTTTTTGTTATTGATAATATACATGGAAAAAATTAAAAGACAACATGTGCTTACACATAGTTTAAAATTTATGAATTTATGATTTTCATCAAATTTTAGATGTCTGGGCACTGAAAGGCTAATTATACATTGCAAATAAAAAAAAACATTTTTTTCACAATTAAGAAAGTCTAAGGAACATTTATTTGCAGAAAAATTATGAAAATTTTTTTTCAATTATAGTTTTAATAAAAATTATTATTATATAATTATTTCTTCAATTTAATTTTAAGCTTTAATTTTTTTTAGATATTTAAACAAAAAATGTCAAAAGAATCATTTAAAATTATTTAACAGTATATAATTATGAACATTTTGAGATAAGGAAATAGAGGGGGAGAAAAAGGAGGAACAAAAAGAACGAGAAGGAGAGAAAAAAGAACGAGGCTAATGAGAAGGAGAGAAAAAAGAACGAAGACAACAAGGAGGAGAGAAAAAAAGAAAGAGAGAAAAAGTATGATGACAAGAAGCAGAAAAAAAAAGAAAGAAAGAACAAGGATGATATGAAAGAAAAAAGTGGAGGGGGACAACTACTTACTGCAGCTGGGCGTGGATGGTGAGACAAATAAATAGATCCAGATTTGCTACTGTGTGCCTCATCGCCCTCTTCTTCACTTGACAGCCGTGTGCAACATTCAGGGGCAGAAGAACTGAGATTTTCCTCCCTCACATGGCCAGCAGTTGATGGATGTAAATGGTGGCTGCTAGGAAAACAAAATACATATAAGAAAAGAAGGAACTGGCAGTATTGAGAAAAACCTATTAACTATTCTTTTTAAGAGTTATTTCCCTTCTTATTAACTAAGTAGATACAAGACAAGAAGCCTAAATCTTTCAATGTTATAAAAAATGCCCAAATTATAAACCAATAAAGAAATATTTAAAATAACAAAGGGTCTCAAGTTTTCATCCTATTTTAAACAATACATTGTCAGATTACATTATTGTATGCAGTACTAAACTATATAAAATATATCAAAATGATTTTCAAGTTAAGGAAAGAATCTTTTTATCCTTTTGGTTAAATGATCAGTGTGAATGTCTTGAGATATTTAATGCTTCCACTGTTGCAGATTTACTTATACATCTTTATGAAACTTATATTACCTGCTCTGCCAACATATACAAGGTGCAATGGGTAAATTGTCGTCATTTTATATTTTTAATTTCATGCATATATGTTTGTTTTTGATTTTGTCGACTGCACAGAAAGTATAGTAGGCTAAGTTGGGCACTGTCTGTGAGAAAAAGTGCACTATGATGCAATTCACTCTGCCAGAAATCTGCTATACTGCTTGGCATTTGTGCTGGAAGCTCCAATACAAACATTTCAGAGTGTTTGGGTGTCAATCTGAAGACAGTGCAAAAGATTCAGATAGAGTTGAACAATATATACAGTCAACATCATGGTGCTTGGAGTGATCACTAGTGATTGCGATGTTATACCTCCCTCCATCTTTCCACAGTGCCTCAGACTCAACACGAAGGCCTACATCAAGTGCCCTGAGGAGATAGTGCAGCCCTGGGTCAAGGGGTTGGCTGCTTCAAGACCCTATATCTGGTAACAGGACTCTGTACCATACCACACAAACAGGAGAACCTAGTCATAGCTGTCAAACAATTTCTGCGACCACATCACCCCTTACCTCTACCCACCCCAGACCGCAAGCCCCTTGCTTATTATATGTGGGGCATAGTTGCGTGAGAAACCAACAAAACTCATTGTAACACTAAAGATGAACTGAAGGCAAGAATTATGGCAGCATTCACTAACTTAAACAAGGAGATTGTCTAGAAGAGTCGCAGGAGATTCTGAAGTCGTCTGGAGGTCGTAGTTGGAACCAATGTCAATTTTATTGAATAAATTTACTCTTTTTACTGTTGGGAGTGTCATTTAGCTTAGTCTGTACTGTAGAGAATCCTATTTATTGGCACCCATTAGAAATTGCCATCAGTATCTTTATGGTCATTTATTTCCAGTAAATGATAATTTCTTATTTTTCTCAATTTTTTTACCAAAACAGGCTAATGCAGCCAGGCAACGATGCTATAACAATGCAACAGTAAAGCATTAAGATATTTTTTTTTAACATTACTGTCATCATAAATACATATTTTAAAAAATTTCAAAATGGAGACAAAACTACTTCATAACCACTAGCTCAAAAACTTGAGTAAACTTGGAGCAGGTAGTTATTTTGTCAACTAAAAGGTGGACATGTTAATCAAGTTAAAATATGAATAAGAAAAAATGTTTAGCATTCAGTTAAATCTGTGGAATATTCATAGAATAAGAAATGTACATTAAGAAATGTACTTGAGTGATTTTTTTGCTAATACGACCTCATCTAAGAGCAGCTACCAAAACAACAAAGTCAGTGAAACATTTAAATATAAATATAGTTATGTATTAGAATTTCAGTTTCTCTAGCAGTTTGAAAATTTCAGATATGATTCCTGTTGTCATTTTATTATAAAAACTTGAAGTCAACATAACAAAGAATAAAAATCTTAAATTTTCCAGATTTTTCTTTTGTCATAAGTTTCTAGTATAAGCTACATACACAGCGATAAAGATGATTGAAATTTTGAATATGAATGTTTTCAACACTTCCTTACTTAATCCTCAAACCAAAATTAAAAATGGATGGATGAAAGTGCTGTAGCCAAAAGAACAGTGATGGAATCAGTTAAATATAATGAAATTTATATAAACTTTTTTTCAAGATGGTAAGGATTTGTAGCTTTCTGAAATAAAGACATTTGTATATTGAAAAAAGTAACCAAATAATACTTGAAAGCAGTAAAGAAACTCACCTTTCCGGTAATAAATTAGGTTTAGTATTTTTTGTCGGTTTGATTCCGGACACTGACCACCTGTTGCTATTGCTGCCATGTTGTAATGCTGCTGAATCTTTACCATTTGTTGTTTCTGCTGTAGAATGTTTTGTTATTGATGTCTGTGAGGTGATGGCACCACCACTGCTCAAACTGCCTCCTCCTCCTCCAGCACCCCCTCCTCCTCCACCTCCAGCTCCGTGTCCACTGCTGGAGTTAGTGGGGCCACCTCCACCACGTGATGAGATAAGACCCTGGGTACCACTGGTAGCAGCAGCAACACCACTGCTGGCGTTCAGTCCACTACCAGTCCCACTGCCACTGTTTGTGGTGGTGGTGTTAGTGCTGGGAGTTGCATTGCTGCTGGTGCCACTGCTATTATTTGCAGAACAACTTCCAGACAGGGCATGTGCTGCCAGTGCAGTTGTTGCAGCTGCTGTCTGAGCAGCAACCCTCTGGGCAGCAGCCATATTTTGTGCATGCACCTTCTCCTTCTGGATGGCCTCCTTGGCGGCTCGGTGGTCTTTGAGGAGTTCATCGAAAGGTTTTCGACGGCCAGCCACGGCCCTCCGTAAAGATAAAGCATGAGTCTGTTTAAAAAGACACAAAATTCAAATTGTTATTTTGTTGAAATTATAAGCAGATTTATTAGATGTTTATTGGTAATATAAGCAGTGATCATAATATTTTAAGAATACTTTTTCTTACCAGATTCCAAAAGTTAAGTTCATGACTGTGTATAAATTAAAATAGCCATCGTTAACAAAGATTTGCTCTTCAGAACAGCCTATATGTTGAGAAGATGGCTGAACGTGATATTAATATCTACTTGTAAAACAAAAAAAAAGTTATTGGTAATTTATTTCTAGTTTACTTTTACTATAAGCAAAAATGTATGTTTCCATGTCAAATAAAGTTGATTGTGAAAATATTGCAGGGCATGAGTAAAGCTCAAAGTTGAAATCAGAACAGAAGCATTTATCCTAAGAAATTTTTCATGCTATTTGCAGTTTTCTGATGTGAAGCTTATTCCAATTTAATCATAAAAGTAAACAATTAGTAATGATATAGGGTACTGACATAAATATGCCAAGTTGGATTGATTCCTAAGGAACCATGTTTCCTTAGGAATCCATTTTTATTAATACTTTTATATTTCAACCATGCTGCAAACCTGGTAAAGATTAAAAACTTTTCAACTGATAAAATGAAGAAACCCAAAAATACAAAACTAGAGCTCTTCCCTTTGACTGAATAATGGCAGAAACAGGACATGGAGTCCAAAAGTTGCATGGGTATATCAGACAGAGCTTGTATACCCTGATGACAAGGGATCTGTAACCTAACACTGTCTTCTATATACACAAACTCTACCATTTGTTCAGAACTGGAAGTCTAAGTGATTAGTGACAAGGTTCAACAACAATATTGCTTGCTCAAAAATTGTACAACATCCAATGTCATGGTGTCAAATGGTCCCCTATTTGGTTGATGACAAAAAAAAAAAAAAAAAAGAGAAAGAAATCCATAGCATGTACTATACAGTGTACTGATAGGTTAAGTAACACCAGCATTGAATTGTGATGTGATTTAATAGCTAATCTAGATATCTCTACAATGATGATGATGATGACGATTATAATAATTTATCATGCTTGAAATGAAACAAGACTAAATTTCATCATGGTTGAAGATAAATTGAAAAAATAATTCATTATGCCTATTTCTACCAATTAGTTTCAAAATCATTATATAGAGTGTGGCAGAAATACCTCCCACATTATGGTAAGACATTAGTGGTAATGGTGTTTTCATCTTGTTAATATCTTACCATTATGTGAGAGTTATTTCTGCCGTATACTGTATAAGCAGAAACTAATGGAAAGCAAATACAAATATTTCAAGTATTTTCAGAATTGACAAATTAAGAAATGCATGAAAGTTTTATCAATCTTAGTAAAAAAAATAAAAAATACAAATGAAAACATTAAATTGTTAAAGAACAATAATTATGGGAAAAAAGTCTTGTACTAAAAGAGTGAATTTCATTTTTGTCTATTCTGAGAGCAAGTTCTTTTGACTTTTTATCGAACATTATTTCCTTTCTTTTCACTTTTTGCTTTAATTGTAAAAGGAATAAACAAAATTCTAATGTGAGAGAATAATAGAAAAATCACATACCTGATCAATGGAGGAATAAATGTTTTTATAAAAACTATTTAATTCAGTTATGTTGACTAGAAGTTAAGGATTACTGATTTGGGCAGATTTACATTATGTCAAATTTTATTATGCAACTCAACACTGTCACAATAAAATTGCTATTAGCCTACTGATATTGATAACATTTTCAGGATATATTTATAGGATAATAGTAATTGATATTTACTTTTTAACTTCAGAGATATAGAGATTGCTATGGGTCATAAAGAAAGATATGATCTCAAAAGAGAAACAAGATATTGTGAAATCATTGATTGATAGGAACAACATTGGATATTGCAATAAAGTTGAACAGAGATCAGAGAACAATCAAAAAAGAAATTGAATAAATTGACAACACACAGAGGGAAACTGGCTTTAAGAATGTTGCAAAAAGAAATTTGAGAAATATTAAAAGAATAAGTGGACTGACCAGCAAGAAAATATTTGAAAAGGCAGGTGCTGTGAATGTAGAAAGTTAAGAACACTGATTAAAGGCATGAAAGCATCTAAACTACCACCTTTAAGTAAATATCACAAAGAGAAATATGGTAGTTGGATAAAGGAGTACATGAAAATGGATTTCTCAACAGTAACATTGCATTGATCTGATGGCTGGGCAAGGGGATGTGTCCAATATGGAATAGTCTCTCAACATGACAAACTAGAAGAGAGAAGTATAATGTTTTGGGCATATATTGTAGGTAGTAAGATTAATGGTCCTGACAAAGTTAATGATATCAAGATAAATGCAAAGAATTATTATGAGTTCTTCGATGTTTCTTTGAGAGCTATGTGTCACAACCAAGAAACATTAAACAAGAATATATTCATAAAAGGCAATGCTCCTTCACATTTGACAAAGCTGACTATTGCCCACTTTGCCAAAGAGGTTTAAAAGATACAAAATTAATGGAGGAACCCTCGGTCTCTCAAGATATTAATCTAATTTAATTTAAAAAACTTAGCATTAAAAAAAGATATGAGAAGAGAAAACAAAATTTAAGTAAAAATTTCTGAGAAGCAATAAAACAGTACGAACAATAACGGAGTAGTATTAAAAATAAGAACTAGATGAGATACCCCTAGACATGGACAGTAGAATGAGAACAGTCTACCCCTATAGATTAAATAAAGGGTTCAGTTCAGAATTCCCTGAAGGTTACTTGAATTGATATGCACCTGATGAAGACTGGAGGGCACAAGAGTCGAAATGTGATAACAATAATAAAGACGAGGACAATAGTCCAAATGTAAATAATTTCTATTGTACTTAATAAAACCTGCCAAACCCAAAACAAGTAATGATTAATACTTTTAATAAAGATAGATATAGTGATTTACTAAGTATAGCTTAGATGTGGCTCAAGGTTGTAAATATGGAGCACCCAGGGAGGATCAAGTTCATTATTCAGTCATAAATGATCTGGTGGGACAAGCTTGCTAACCATTACACCATATCAAATAAAGATAGATATAGACTGATTCTTACATGATATATATATATATATATATATATATGTATCATATAAGTTACATCATAAAAATGTTACAACATTAGTTAGTTAATACCAATTTTATTATGAAAACATTGACTAGCATTAAGAAAATCTGACAGTGCATTACCACAGATTACAGGCATTTTTTTAGATTTTAGATCACAAACTAGCAGTTTTCAACCTGAGAGAATAAACAGTTTTGGAACTCAGAAGCTAATTCTTCATTGTAAGTTTACTATTTACAGATCGCAACAGCTATTAGGGAGATGTAATTAAATATACTTTAATGTTTGAAAAACATTATTCAGTATTATTATTGTTTAGGTAATAAGCATTACAACATAGCACAAATAGCTATATTGTGGAAAAAGGAATTTTTGACAATATACATATTTTTTTTACATATTTATGGATATTTTTTTTAACTTTTATCAAAAGCAACATTCTTGTATATATATATATATAGTTATGGATAATATTATACATTAATTACTAATTTTTTTAATTAATAACTATTTGTGCTCAGTTGTTGACATTAATAGTTATCTGCTGGTGTTTTAAAATTTTGGAATAATGCAATAATAAAAATTTAAATTTCATCTGACAGATGTCGCAATCTGTTAATCTAGAAATATCAAACTTTTTTGGTTCGATGGTTGTTTTAGTTTAGTAGCATATCAACATCTATAGGTTATTTAATGCCAAAATGTAAATATTTTGTATGCAATTTTTTTTTTTTTTTTTTCAGATAATGATTTTAGTGATACAAGTCTTAATTAACCCATACCTGGGGGGAGAAGAGGTAGATCCATACCTTTCCCAAGGGTATTTGCACATAAGTGAATTTAATGGACAGAATAGGAATTGGAACTTGGCTCTCCGATTAACAATTCCAAGCCATTACCCAACACACACATCCAAGCTTACAGCACTTGCTATTCCCAAATGGTCACTCATCTAGGTACTGACCAGGTTCAACATTTCTTAACTTTAGTGATTGTACAGGACCTGGTGTGTCAACATGATGTGGCCATAAACTCAAGTTTTTGAAATGCCAACATTAATTCACAGACCACAAAGGAAAAATATATAAATCTCAATACTAGTATTTCATAATTTTCCTACACATTTTAATTATTTTTCACCAAGGTATTATAGTAATTAGCTAATACTAGAATTTCTTTTATAAATATAAAGAAAGTTTGTCACCCAACAAACAGCAATGTTCGATTATGTTTCCTATTTAGGAAATGCGAGAATTGAATTTCAAATTATACTTTAATTTCTATTTTTTCAGGCTTTAGCATATATGCTACCCTTTGCCATTATTAGGGCATTGATTTAGTTATCTTTAGATATGAACTGTTAGCTAATAGCTAGCTCCAACTATCTTTGTTCTAATCAGAAAGATGGTCTAAGTTACAGTCATTGTTTCAATTATCTTACAATTCTACTTGTCCCTCCCTTAGTTAGCATGACCATTACGCCCTGCCAATACCTCATAAATTCAGTATTGTTTATGTGGAAAGACTGGAAAGACAGAGATGCTACTTGCTTTCAGTGAGAAAATGAAGGAAAGGAAGTGGAAGTGTTTAACACCTGTTTCAGTAAAATAGAAATAGTTGTCAATTTCAAATATTTTCATTTGTACACCCTTAGTTCTTAAAATAACGACCAGCATTCATATTTATAATTGCTATTGCAATATTTTGTTAAGCTCAAATATTTAACGATGCAATAGATGAATTTCTACAGATATTTTATTGTTGTAAAACTCGTCATGAGCTTAACTGAAGAATTAAGATTCATCAGAAAATTCGAAAACATTAAATTTTCACAGGTATTTCTAGTAAATTAAAATGTATCAATATAATCAAGTATATCAAAAAAAAAAAAAAAAAAAATTTTAATTTATCTTTAAAAATTATTCTAGAATTCTGATGATTGTGTACAATGCTGCCAGTGATGCCGTATCATCACCACATATAGATATGGAGCTCAGTGTACTTCATTGTGCTAGATCATCGTTGATTTTACAAGAAGGTTCATCTAACCTTTGTCCTTGTTTCTAATCCTGATGGGTATCTAACCACCCTCTTCACCAGAAAAGCCAGGCAGGGAAACCAGTTTAATCGTTGATGACCTGACCATGGGGTGGGGAGTATTGAGTTACATGTTACAAATAGAACTTATAGAGTGACATGACAAAAATAATTCATTAGACTTCCTCAAATAATGATGAGATGAATTCATGTAAAAAGGAAAAAACAACCAAACCTTTTTTGTATTCTGATACTGACCTTACAAGTTAAAGACCGCGTGCATGGTTTGCTATCAAGAGTTACTTTTACACCACAATGCTTGTTAGCATCAAATTCACGATCTGAAATAAATAAAAAAAGTTAAAATAAAAAAATGAAGCATGATGATAAAATTTGACTTTTCCTTTTTCAGGCATTCAAAGTTTATTCATATACTGAATATGTAAATAAAAAAAGGAAGAAAATAGCCTACTGTTGGAATTAGAGCAACATCCATTATAGAGTGTGTCCCCTGACAAAATTGATATCATTTAAAATGTGAATATCTGAGTAACTATATGTCTGAGGCAAACTAACTTAAATAGGCTTTATTTTGAATAATAAAGGATTTACTTATCAAAATTTGAACAAGATATTCAATAGATTTTATAACCGATTTCACAAAACTTCACGAATGTTCAGTTTTCACACCACCTGTGAAATGACACATGTCAAGTTGGTAGTCCAGCTCCTGCCAAACATGCTGCAGCATGTCGTGCATAACATTCTCCAGCACCTCAGTAATTCTCTGCTTAAGTTCCTCAAGGCTTGTAGGAAGATAGAGGATATAGGCCGGTTGTTTCACATAGCCCCATAGAAAAAAAATTACAACGTGTCAAGTCAGGTGAATGCGGTGGCCATTTTAACAGTACATTGTCATTATCAGTGTCATGCCCAATTTATCTTCCTGGTACATTCTCATAGAGATAAATCCACACAGACAACTCAAGTTTTTACACATTTTGTTAATATTTGAGTGAGAATTGGCTATGTTATTAGATTACAAAATGATGTCTATTTTTTGGGGACATCCTTTATATTGTTGTAGCTAAGCACTTAATGATTCATCTTAAGTGGCTTGCCACTCAGCAGTTTTTGACAGACAAATGCTCAACAATTTATCCTATGCTGAAAATTTTCACTTCCTGAAATAAACACGATTGTTGACATTTTTAAATCATTCTTAATTATTATAAATACATATCAATTTCATCCCAATCTAAAACATTTCTATACCTTCTTATTGCTTGTTAAATTTTCATTAAAGAGATAGCCATGATAATATTTGCTTGCTACATCAGCATCTACATGGTGGAATGTTGAAAAGATCTACACTTGTCTAAGACTAAGAAAGAGGACCCAACCAACAACAATGAAAATCTGATGTTTTGGTCAGATTTTGAAAAGTGTGTTGAACAGACAACTTTTCCAGAACCTTCTTGTAAATGTGAAGCATTTTTTTCCTTTTCAAAGCATTTCTTTATGTTTACAGATAAAGATAATATTTGTTACTTCTATATAAATAAATGTGAATGTCAGTGTGTCACTTTTTCAACTTTACTTCTAGAGGCCATAGTTCAACCTATCATACCATTTTAGAATCAGGCTGACTGTGAGAAAATTAAAAACATTCTGGGACAGATCTGAAATTTTGAATTTCCAAATTTTCATTACTGTGATTGTTTTTGGCAATTTTTTACGTGATTTTTCCAACAAAGTTTTTTTTTTTTTGTACAGTAACAATTTTTAGAATTTGGAAATGATTGAAATTAATTGCAAAATCCAGTGAAAGTCACCCATGAAATAATTGTATGGGAAATAAGGACCTATGTGCATCAAATTGTCTTTAAATTAAGTGCCAGCAGAAGAATTATCATTGAACTTTTAAAAGGTAAGCTTAAATATTAAAGTAAAACTTAAATGCAGTGATCAATTTTGAGTTCTTCCGTAGTTTATTGTTGCCTATCATTTATGGCAGCAGTGTGCCTTGCAAAAAGAGAACCAGATTACAATCAAAAGAGCCAAAGCTACATTGAGGAAAAGAAAGTCCTGTGCAAATGAAAACCCAGATGAAATGGCAAGCAGGACAGCTTCCATTGCTGATAATATGCAAAGACTTAGGGACTCTCAAACTCCTGAACAAGCCAAAAGCTCAATCAAAAGCCCTCCATAGGAGCTAGCTTAAATGCTGCCTGATAGGGCGGCTTTTAAGCTAGTACTACATAATTATTAATTGAAAAAGTATAAAATTTTGTATATACTGACTTGTGTATAAGAATGCAATTTTAGTAGACATACAATATAGAAATAACTTATAGAAACTACTAATGCTTAGTCTGCCATTGAATAGAATAATTATTAAATATCTGTCTCAATAGAATGCATCTTATATATTGGGTTGGCAAACATATTTGTTCTGTGTTTGTATTGTTGGATTGACTGATTATGAATTTTTAAAAAAAAATTTATTAAAATTGGTATATTTTTCTTTATTGATAATAACACAGAAGAAAAAATACAGTGTAACCCGGATATAAGAGAGTTGTCGGGACCGGAGACGAAGTCTCTTATATCCAGGTTTGGTCTATTTTATATACATTAACACAGGCTCTAATTTGGGACCAGAAAAAATCTCTCTTATATCCGTGTTTCTCTTATATCCGGGTTACATTGTATTAGCAATATATTTGGCATATTATACTTTCTTTTTTTTTATTTTAAGAAAGGTAAAAATGTCATAAAAGTGAGAAAAAAAATAGTACAGTTTATAGAGAAATTACTGGGAATGATCTGAAAAGGGGTTTGTCAAGTTTGCTACTAGAGATTTCTTGCTGAATGATGGGGTAGACAAGCTTGGATTAATGGCAATCAAGGTTTAGACATTTATTTTTAATAACATGTCTCTTAAGGATGTAGATGATCATAACTGTTCACAGCTTATTCTTTAATATCAGTGAATTGCATTGCATTCTTAGGAAAGATAGTGATTTTGTTGCTTTTTACATGGTTTGGAATTCAGTTTTCCTTCTCTTAGATTAATTGCTATTCAAATAAAGAGAAGTCTATCCCTAACTCAGCTACTTAATCAATAGCTTGGGGAAGAAGAAATGGATTTAAGCTCCCCCCCCCCCAGGGCATTTGTGTGAAAATGAATGCAACAGACTAAGAGTGAATTTGCTTGACACTTCCACTTTTTGCACCAATAACCATTAAACTACCTGAACATTTTAATAAAAAACATTACTTGAGAATAATCAACATTATACAACATTGGAAGCTACTCAACATTCACAAAATATACAAATAATGAAAATCATCTGTACCAACTTGGTTAGGTTAATCATTTTGAGGTGTGGCTTCCACACAAGTGAGAGAGAGAGAAAAAAAAGGCAGGACTGTATGCAATTTGCTACTTAAGCATTATGAATAATTGTTTTTGAAACATTTGTAGTAAGGAATGAGAAGTGGACACTTCACTAAAGACTGAAGTACAAAAGATAATATGGCAAGTAAAATGAATGAACATTAATTACACCATAGGTCAGTATTCATCTAAAGATGGGAATGTTTTGAATAGAGTAAAACTGAAAGAGTTCTTTACTATGAACTTCTGGAGAAGCAAACAATTGATTCAAACTGATTCTAAAAGCAGAAGTGTCCAGAGTTAAGAGAAAAGTTCTAATACTATGTCAGTATAATGCTAGACCAAATGTTTAGAATATTAGACAAGGTACTTCTAGTTTTAAAACTATGATACTAATAATAATATAAAAAACTATTTCCTGGAAGACTTCAAAAAGGCATCTAGCACAGTTCTTTCAGGAGAATGAAGAGTTGCTTGATGTTCAATAAAGTTATCAATTTTTTTTTTCAATAAATGATAAAAAATGTATTTTATTTTTACTTACTAAGTAGGACAAACTTTTTAACCACCCAATATAATCATAATTCAAAGTACCTATATAATAATAAAAACATTTATCAATCTAGACAATTACTGAATTTTGTCAATCTTAATAGTTTTGAACTATCAGAATTTTTTTTTTTTTTTTATATATACAAAACATGGCATGGAAATCAATTTGCTTCATCATCTAAACAAATCTAAATACAAAAGCCAAATGTGAGCATGTTTTGAGGAATTAAATAAATACTTGCAGATAAGTCAAACATTTTCTTGGGGGAGGGAAGCAAAAGAAGAAGACAGAAGAAAAAAAAGGAAGAAGAGAGAAAAGAAGACAAGAAAAAGAAGAAAAAAGAAAAGAAAAAGAAGAAAAAAAGAAAAGAAAAAGAAGAAAAAAGAAAAGAAAAAGAAGAAAAAAAAAAGAAAAAAAGAAAAAAAAAAAGAAAAGAAAAAGAAAAAAAAAGAAAAAAAAAAAAGAAAAGAAAAAAGAAAAAAAGAAAAAAAAGAAAAGAAAAAAGAAAAAGAAAAGAAAAAAAAAGAAAAGAAAAGAAAAAAAAAGAAAAAGAAAAGAAAAAAGAAGAAAAAAAAGAAAAAAGAAAAAGAAAAGAAAAAGAAGAAAAAAGAAAAGAAAAAAGGAAAGAAAAAAGAAAAGAAAAAAAGGAAAGAAAAAAGAAAAGAAAAAAAAGAAAAAAGGAAAGAAAAACAAGCAAATCTTTAAGATGGTGTTTATGTCATGTATATGACAGAATATAATGATACATAGTGTAAATTGCTTATAACTGCCTAAACTTCTCACCTGTCTTGAGGCTTGTTTTAAGTTACATGTTATTGAATCTTCTGAAGGGCATGGAAATTGATGTGGTGAGTGAAAGTTTAGTAGGTTTGGAAATTTGGTGAGAAACTGGCAGAAATGGAATGAAACAGTAAAGAAAATGCCAAAAGCAAAGCATGTTAAGCGATATACTGTCTCTTTGTATTATGACAAATTGGAGAAAGATTTATCTGGGGATGAGAATTAGGTCTGAATGAATTTATCATCCACATTACTGATAGAACAAAAGCATTAGAATTACCCAGGCATACAAGGCATTATTCCACACTTCATTTGGCTGGTGTACAAGATTCATGTATAGAAATAAATGATCATTTTATCAGTGAATAAATATTGTGAAAAAATTACCAAAAGATCTGAACAATAAAGTATGACAATTCCATAAATCTAATCAATGAACGCATACCAATTGTCGATAGACAACATGAATGTTTTTCTGTTGATGTGGCTGAAATAACACCATAGACCTTTCAGGAAATAATACTGTTTGTATAAAATTGGATATGAAAAGTAACATTTTATAGTAGTTTTAGCATGCCTAGTTGATCACCCACCAGGCTGGATGG